CCCCACCCCCTATCTATCCCCCAGCCTCTAGTCCTCGCGCAGGCTCTAGTCCTACACCCACCCAGGGCCCCCCCCACCACCGCACCTCTAGTCCCCAGGCATCTGTCCACCCAAGATCTAAGACCAAAATACTAAGAGAACCGCCCCCTGGGCTCTACGTCCCCCACACTCTAGTCCCCCAGGCTCTAGTCCCACGACAACAACAAAGCTCAAATATAAGCAATCATACGAAACACAGTTAAAACATGGGAATAAAAGAAAATAAAAGAATCAAGAATTACAAGTCAGATATCACAAAAGGCTTTCCTATAAAAATATAAGATGAGATGTTCCTTTATTGATCCCCCTTAGGAGAAATTCAATATGTTTTAAGAAATTATTTTAAAGCAGGTAATATGCTGACACACAGTCTCCTCGGGCTGGGAGATTATATTTTGTTCATTGCCTAATATTAACAGGATTGTAAAGTGGACAACAGCTACTTTCCATTTTTGTTTGTGTTACCACTGATCTAAATTTAAGAAGGCTCCCTTTTCTGTGTGGCTGAAAATAATCCAATACGGCATATTTCTTTGTCATTTAAAACTGTCAAAAGCTCATGCAAAGTACAACAAATTACAATATTCCTGCAGAACAAGATGAAGGCAGACGAATGAGCCAGAGAGAGTTAAGGGAGAACAGTGTCACACTAAACCTAATGTCCTGGGATCCATCTGAGAGGAAAAGTGAGATGGATAATGTGGCTGAGGTAAGGTTATCACTGAGTAAAATGAAACACTGAGCGCTGCACTGTCAGAGAATATTGTAATATACTAGCACAATAAATACTGACAGCTCCACCAGGGAATATATTCAGAATATCTTTAATGATCTCCAATTTTAATGAAACTTAAACTTAAAGTAATAAAAACCAAAAGTCTTGAGAATGTTATTAGAAATTGTATTTATAAAAATGAGAAAAACTGTAATGGGAATCCTGCTGATCCCCGTTGTCTGTGTTGGAGAGTGATGATTGCAGTCTTATTTACCAGCCTTTTAGAGTCAAATATGACTGAAAGTTGATGACAAACCATGTGGCTGACAGACAATCCACAGTCCGTCTTTTGTCGTCTTTCTTTTTTCCTTCTGCTTTCTTGTTTTTGTTGACAACATTTCTGTTTTTGCTATCTAATCTGTATCAAAAAGATGTGTCTTGAATTTCCCTCGGGATAAATAAAGTATCTATCTATCTCTATCTATCTGTTATTTAAAGTTGTACTGTATTGTGAGGTGCTATGTTCTTATGTGTTCTTCTGTATTGCTGTTACTACTGTTTCAATCTATTTCCTTGTTTTATTGCATCTTCCTTTCTGGTGATAAATATAGAGGGTAGGAAATGGCTAAAAAAAAGCCTTCTCTTTCTTGCCTATAGTCAAATCTACTGATATCATTATGTGCAATCTTGCAGCAGAGTCAGTCTCTCAGGAATGTTAAACTATTTGCAACCCCGCTTGAATGTGCTATGATTGTGTTTTTGTTCGGAAGAATTCCACTTGGCTTCAATTTTGCGTTATCACACAATGGGTATATTAAAAAAAACACAAAAAAAAAACCCCCTGACACATGGCACAATAATTCAGCAGAGGCCATGTCAACCTCATGGACCCTCCTTGAATTCAGGAAAACAGTGATACAAGTCAGAATATTTCAGTGCATTAGACCTCCCCCCTGCCCCACTCAGAGATTCATAGACTTCTCCTCATATCTACAAGTTTCTCCAGTCATTAACTGACTTGTTACTTGTAACACTAACTCATTCTCATGTGGATATGCAGTGAGCTGACTTCTGTCTTGAATTTGCTGTTGCATCAATAGTCAAAATTACCAAAGATAGTTATGTTTAATTCATCACTTGAGACATTTCTGAATACTTTTAAAATTGATGAGAGGCCTCAGTTGGCTGCGTCTTCATGACAGTGAGAGAATTCCTCCTGCAGGGGTCACTGTTTCATCACTAAATAAATGTGCAGGCACCGTTTTTTTTTTTTGTTCAATTTGTTTTCTCAAAAGATAATACTACCAATATTCATTCCTTATCTCCCTATATGAGAGTAATATTTATCAGTGTGTATTTGTGTGTGTGTGTGTTTTGAGGGAGTCATATTAGGCTTTGGACTTACTTTGTAAATCTTTTTATTCATTGGTAGACAGGTTAAATTCCGCAGGAGTCGCTCTCCTTATATGTTGAAAATTCCTGACTACCAATGCCACCTAAAGTGTTTGCCGTCCAGATGGTTAATCAAGCACCTAGTACACGTGTTTGACATTTCTGCTGTAAGTGGTTTACATACTTAACGGATAATGGAACTGTTAAAGATTCATGGCTGTTGAATCATATTATGTGCCCATATCTCTTTTTGACAATGTATGCATGTTTATTTGTTTACAGAGTACAGGACATTTGTTCCAACACAGCTAATGCCTTGGTACTAATGTAGCCACACTTTTAAACATGTGGTGACCATTTTGCTAAAATAATTGAGCCATTATGCCATTCGAGCTGCAGAGTTGTTAGTGCTCTGGTGATAAATGACAAAGCTTTGATGCATTCTTTCCTCAGTGTTCATCTACAATATGCTAGATCTCTGCTGACCCAAAAGCTGAAGGTAAACATATTTTGTTCTCATTTTGTGTGGTCTCCTGAGAACCAAAACATCTTTACAATTTGGTGTCTGGATTTTGATGATGTGAAAAGGCAGGGTCAAATAAGCAAGAATTATGTATGCAAGTATTAGAGCAGAGACTAATGGTGTCTGTGAACTGAGTGGAGCTGCAGTTGCGTCATTAGAGAAGTTGGATCTATCATTTTGAAAAAGGTCTCACTAACATTGATATTAAACAATTTTTGTATGTCTAAGTGGGTTTGTGGTCACATTACCCAAGATTTTGAAATACTAAAATGAGACTACCTGAAGTCTGAAAATAGTGGATTTTCTTTTCTTTTTGTCAAAGTTCATCAATGGAGACCAGTAGGCTGCTTGGATTCCAAAGTAGAGACACAAACCACCTCCATGATCCACATATCCTCATTATGTTCCACACAGTCCTAGTTTTGTCAAAAATATGACTACCTCACAAGATAGTGTGAGATGTTTGGGTGGAGTATCTCTTTAATAATAGCACAGAAAACATCCTAACTGCATATTTTTCTTCTTTTAAATGATTCAACACAAATTAAAATATCAGAAAAAGGGACATGGAAATGGAATTAAAGTTTCGCTCCTTTGCCTCACTTTCTTGCTACAGTAATAACAAAAATGAAAAACAAAGAATAATTTTATGCTTCAACTTCACCTGCTGAAATGAATGAAAAGAATGATTTGGTCCCCAAATGCAAGCTTTGGTTGAAAAAAGTGGCGTTCCTGAGAATACTGAAGAAAATGGTACCACTTACCTTGCCGTTAATGACCTGACCTTTATCTTTCCTCAGTTCCAGGTAACAGTTCTCATCAAGATGGCCTTTTTCAGCTTTCTGACCTTTCATTATCTTACCATTGTTCTTTGTTCAGTGTCACAGAGTATATTGTCCATTGTCTAACTGTCACCACTTTGTGTCACAGCCTAGGATTATGACTTTAGTCAATACATACAAACATTACTCCCCCCTGATGATAATTTTATCTTTAATGTTGTTCATAAATGCAGCATTGCATTACACAAGAAACATTGCATGTCTATATTTACTGCAGATAATCAAAGACACTCTAGCCAGTATCCAAGTTTTGATTAGATATTCCATCAAGCTTTCTGAAAACAGAACAAAATAGTCATGTAGAGATGTCTGTGTATATTAAATCCCAATCAAAGCAGCTGGATCTCAGTTCCTGATAGATGGTCGTTTATTTTTGAAAAACAAATCCCACACGATTGTTAGAAGAGGGACTGTCAGATTCCTTCCTATCTGGTGGCTTGTTTTGGCATCCACTACTATTTTAGAGTAGCTGATTATTAGACTTTTGGAGTGTGTGAGACATAATATACCCACATGTGCGAGCTGGAGTGCCCTCTTTCACTCCAGTAGCAGACATACCACACATCTGGATCTCATCCCCCTGTAAGAGAAAGCCAATCATCACATACCTGAGCAAACACTCCTGACTTTCTTGGGATTCAGCAATGGCGAGGTCCAAGCTTTAATTATTGCACCCATTTGTCAGAAGTGTAAAGATTTTCATTGGTATGGTCCAAACGCTGACATTATATAGAGATTCTGGAAGGCGAGCAGGCACATTTTGAAAGAAATCTGGCTCCTTAAAGCACTCTGATGCTGTGCAGTGAAGTACATCTTGAGTATCAAAGGGAAAAATTTAGCGGAATAAGATGATCACTTCCTTTATACCGTACCCTGGTGCACGTCATGGTTCATATCATAGAATATTGCTTTTTTTAACCTAAGCACAATCTGTCCCCACTTTCTCTACTTCAGTCTTCATCCTCTGACCTTCAGCAGAGCCACACATTTGCCTCAAATCCCGGCTGGTAAAAGCACAGGATGAAGAACTCTTTATTCATGGCTGCGTCCGTATATCCCAGTGGGAGCATA